TAAATTATAAAAAGAAAATGGACAAATTAGATATATATAAATCAGCATACATACAGTAACACGCACGTTTATACAAATTAGAAAAAAATCAAGAAAATCAAGATATAGCCTGCTACACACAGGTAGAGAAGCCTCATACGCAAATTAAAGAAAATCGAGCTACATTTAGGTGGAAAGCCCTATAACTATTTATATAATCGTATATGCAGGCTTATGATAACATATATAAAATGAAATATCCAATCAAAAGCACGTATTTGTACAGAAACACTTGACTTGCCGCTTAACCATTCACTCCGTTCTTGGTACGACGCAGATCGAGATCGATAAAATTCACGTAATTCAGAAATAGAATTTTGGAAAACTGACAGCTCTCACAAATCTTGTGATGCAAATGTTGTTATTTCAAATTATAGTAAAGGGTGCTATTTATTTGCATCAAAAAGAAATTTCAGCACTGACATCAATAATTACTTGGACCTAATACTGGAAATATTTATAAACATAATGTTACTAATCTCACAAGCAATATTGGATATTACGAAAGAATCACCGGTCATCAAATGCTTGTTGAAGATATTTCTAAAAATGCTTCCGATTTATACTCTAATGATATGATTCCTGCTTTTGTCATTTTAAATATCACATTGAATGATACATTATTCTTGAATAATTCATTTTTAAGTTACATTGGCATTTATTTCGAACAAGTCGTGTCAAAATCTGAAAAACAATTATTTAATACTAGTGTTTCAAGCCGATTAAATTTTTACGGCTAGGCTAAGCTATTAAATTTTTGACAGCTTAGCGGTTTAGCTGATGGGTATAATGCCGACCAAAATTTGGGTCTATTGTATATTAAACATTCTCCATATGCTTAATATTAAAAATTGTATCTTACAACTAAAATTTCATGCCGAAAAGCTTAGAGGTCGGAAGTTAGTCATTACTGTATAGAAAATTTTTGTTATTGTCACAATATCCTGTAATTTATTGGATTCAGACCAAGAATTTCAGAGTCGAGTGATCTTAGCTCGAAATTTTCTTAACATATGGGTATTCAATATACAGTAGGTTAAAAGTTAGCCGACTAATGAAACTATCAGCCGGCTAAACGGCTAAGTGGCTGGCTAAGCGGCTACTGTAACATGATTGGCTTAGAACAATAACTTTTATTCAATGCTTCCTGGACAATACGTCATTTTTGAATTTTCTATAATAATTAT